ACCATGCAGGGAACTAGGTGTTTCATAATTTGAAATGTGCTGTTATTAAAGATTATAATCAGAACGTGATCGTTATCACTTCCTTGTGAGAAGCAGCAGCAGAGTACCTGCAAATTTTGCACTAACCATAGTTGTCTACAGCCGTGAAGTGTTTTTTGTGTTAAGAAACACTTTGATTTGCCAATTTCTCCCATATTTTTCGCTTCTATTGGCTCTTAGTGATTATATTTTGTGTTATGTGAGTTGAGCCGCTAAAGCGGTTTTCGGCCGAGTTCCTCCTTTAATTTATGGTTTTGCGGCTGTGCTTTCTTTTTCAAAGCCTTTCTTGGTGCGGCTCAGGATTACAATCTAAAGCCGAACGCCCCCAACTTACAGTGATGTTCCGCTTAAAAATCCAAATTTTTTTGCAAATTAACTATGAATATCTCAAAAACAATAGGACTCCGGTAGGTTCGGTTTTGAAAGCTGGTGAAACCCACTAGCTTCCTCGGACCATAGCCTTCCGAATGGAAGTACGCAATGCCAATCAACGGTGCTGTAAACCGGATACTTTTATTCTATCACTATTTAAGGGTAAAAATAAATGCAGCTTTTCTGCCGAAAAGTCTTTTTTTCTAAAAGTTTTTCAAGTTGTGAAGAATTTAAAGAAAATGAATCGTGAGTATAAAAAAAGAAAACTCATTTTCGCTTAAGGAAATATAATTGAACGGTTGGGCATTTGAGTTTTATTCTATCCATAAATTTATTATTTAAGTTTGTGATTGCTTTGATGGCATTTTGATGTTCTTGATGTCATTTTTTAAAGCTTGATACAATTTTAAAAATTATATGTTAGAAATCATGGTTTTGATTGCAGAAACTCAACCTGGTGATGTAATATCCAATAGGCCTATTCAGCATGTGCAGCACCAAGTTCAAAACAAACAACAGCTGGTGTCAAAAAATGTAGAAGAAGTTTCTAACGCTAAAAAATCCGACTGTGTTCAACAGCAACTGCAGTTTTTACAGTCCCAGAAACAACCAACTCCTCTAGTTCTAACAAATTTGAACAAAAATCATCACTTCGACTCTATTCCCAACATATCCAAAGAAAATCCTTGCGAAGACGACAATCCTCAACAACAGGAACAAATCTCCATTCCCGTACTGGTAACGACTACATTAAACCCCTCAGTTAGCATCACTAGCTTGCCGGAAGCTCCGAATGTCTCTCGTAAACGAAATAATATCGTAGAATGTGATGATAGTGATGATCTAAATCTTAAATTAGTACCTGTTGCAACAACACCAGCACAATTTCACCAAGAAAATTTAGAATTGGAAAAATCGGAAGCTTATATGTTGGTGCAAATACCTACCGGTGATGCATCTGAATTATCTATAATTCTCCAAGCGACTGAGTCAGATGTGAAAAAAATGCAACTTACAGAAGAAATTTGTGCTGTGGTGGATGATGAAATTTGTCACTCAAACATTATTGAAAATGGTGTAGGAAAATCGTCAGAAAGTAAGGGTATTGTATTGAATCTAAATTCTATTGAAATAAAAACTGAAAACCCTACTGTAGAAAAAAATAAGGCAGACTGCTCTAAAAACGATGTTGCAAATGATCAATGCAACCTTGAGCTTAATACCAGTCTTACATCTAACCATTGTGCGATAAAGCAACGTGAATATGATGAGACTGAGCGTACTCTTCAGAAGAAACAATATGCTCCAAATGAAATAGCTATAGCAGAGCGTAATAGCCAATCTAAAGGTTTGAACGAAACTTCATCTAATAAAAAGGTATTAGTACCAACCTCAGAAGGTGTAAAGAATAATATTCAAAATGAAGGCTGCAATAATGAGAATAATGTGATCGTTGAACAACGTTCTTCTTGCACTGAGAATATTACACAAGATAGCAATATATCGAATCTTAATGGTCAGTCGGTTTCCCAACTCTTCTTAATCAGTTATAATAAAGGCCAATGGTCCCCTAAAAACCCAACAGGAAAGAAAAAATACGATAAGGAACAGCTCTTGCAACTGCGAGAAGTAAAAACATCTCGCCGGCAACCAGAGGTAGCCAACGGATTAATATTACCTACGTCTAATTTAATGCCATCTTTTGTTCGTCCAAAACGTGTACAATCTATGGTCGGTTCCCTCGGTAGCAATCGAGGAGCTGCAGCAAACGTTTCAGGAGCAGAAATCGGTAACTATGGTAATAAGCAAACACCTTTGTCGGGAGTTCATGGACGTGGAAGCATGAAAGGTAAAAGTGGTAATATATATATATATTTATAACACTTAAGTTATCCAATTTTTTTTGTCAAAATTTTGATATTCTACCGAAAATGTTTTAATCAAATTAGAAATACTTTGAACTTTATCTTTTAACGTGTGAAGTTTTTGCCTCATAGATCTACTGGTGATTTAAGACCATGCAGATAAGCTATTGTTCACTGCTTTTACACTCTTGGTTATGAAATTCCTCTGTATCAGCTAATAGCAAAGCGTAGCACGTAATATTGAAAGGGAAAAGAGTAGGTCCAGACAGGTGAAGGTATTCCATTCCTATTCTATCATTTGAAAGTATAGAAAATGTTCGGCTCTCTTATACGTACCTGCAAGGGAAACAGTAAGTTTTATTATATTTTTCATTTCACAAGTATTGGGGATAGAGGCGCATGTTGTTTTTGTTGTTGTTGTAGCGGTTCGCTAACCCCGATTAGGCACAAGTTTGATCAGTCTAAATCGCCGAGGTCTAATGGTAGGTCCAGGAAACGAGCTGTTTCGACGGAGTTATACCAAAGGGAGAGGGGGGTTAGATGAGTTGGTTTGAGAGGGAATATGAAGAGGTGGTTAGTGTCGTGCGGAGACTCTCTACATGCAGGGCATACGTTGGGTATGCTGGGGTCTAGTCTGGATAAGTAGGAGTTTAACCTGCTACAATATCCAGAGTTCTGTCAAGGTCACGCGGGTCTCTCGAGGCAGCTCGAGCTCGTTGTCTGCTATAGGTGGTGGTATTTCTCCAGGTACGCCATTGACTGGAAGGGAGTCCTTGAAGATGTTGACTGACTCCTAGTGAATGGCGTTCACTGCTTTTCGGTGTCCTTTAGGCCTAGTACTCCCTTTCTGATGTGCCTCGGTGGAGGTTCAGCGTCTATTTAGTGTCTACTGGGTGCTCCCTGCGGTGGTGTCCCAATAGGAACTGCTTGCACAGCAAAGCATTTTGCTCCTTAACTCGTAGCATAGATGCTTCCTTGTGCAAGTGATGCTCCGGAGACATCAGGAGGTTTCCTGTCCTGGTACTGAGGGCGGTGTTCTGGCAAGCCTGTAACTTCTTCATCTGCGTCTCGTTCGTCCCCGGCGCCCAGATCGGTGCAGCATAGTTTACGACCGGTCGGCCAATTGCTTTATAAGTAGCCAGCAAAGTTTCTTTGTCTTTACCTCAGGTGCTGCCGGCTAGCGCTTTGAGTATTTTGTTGCGGCTCTGGAGTTTCGCGGCAATTGTTGTCGTATGCGGAGTGAAGGAGTGCAGGCTGTCCAGAGTTACTCCCAATATTTTTGGCTTATTTATCGTCGGAATTTTTCGTCATCGACCTTTACATCTAGTTCAAGCCTGTACTCCTTCGTCCAGCTGGTGAAAAGGGTAGCCGAGGATTTTGTCGGTTGGATTCGTAGTTGTCTTGCAGTGAAGAAGTGGGAGAGATCAGCGAGGTAGCCGTTCACTTTCGAACAGAGGTCATCAATATCCTGGCCAGACGCCATTATCGTACAATCATCGGCATAAGAGGTTAGGGAAACTCCTTCTGGTGGTGGAGGGAGTTTCGAGATGTAAGAGTTAAACAGTAGAGTGGAGAGGACACCACCCTGCGGAACCCCCTGTTTAGTTTTTCTGGGTTTAGATATTACACATCGGAAAATAACCGATGACTGCCTACCACTCAGGTAGCCCATGACCCACCTCTGCAACCCCGGCGGTAATGAGGATTCCTCAATGTCCGTTAGTAGCACTGAGTGATTGACTGTGTCAAAAGCTTTTGACAAATCCAGTGAGACTAGGACAGTGCGCGCGCAGGGTCGGTTTTGGTTAAAGCCATGGACTATCTGGGTGTTTATGGCGTTAAGTGCTGTTGTGGTGCTCTGCACTTTTCGGAAGCCATGCTGATGTGCTGCTGGACGCAGATGGTGAATGAAGGTCGGGATGAGTAAGGCCTCAAGTGTCTTCGCTACTGTGGAGCGGAGAGTTATCTGCCGATAGGACTCTCATTTGTTAGCTGGTTTCCCCGGTTTAAGTAGCGGGACCACCCTACCCATTTTCCACACATCGGGTATCTTCAGGGTGGTCAGAGTCAAATTGAGGACCCTCGTTAGAAATTTTGCTCCCGCTGGTCCAAGGTGTTTCAGCATCACCGCGGTGATGTTTGGCAGTTTGCGCAAGCGGCGGGTTACACGTCGTTTCGCTTTGTCTACCGAGGGATGCAGTGTGAAAAGTCGGCTAAAATAGCTCGCGTATCTCGTCGGGTTAGACAGCGACTTGACCGTAGCCCAGAGCTTGGTTGCTCCCGAGGAGAGGTTACAGGTCCTTAGGCGCTCCTCCCACTCTTTCCGCTTGTGATTGTTGAGTACTAGAGGCGCATCTTAGAGCATGGTGCGACTTAGACATAACTCAAATTACGCCTGTCGGGCACACGACCACTCATACGCAAAAATCATCATGACCCAAATAAGAGCATAGGCGCAAAGCAGTTCATGTTTATATATGACCGTAAACTGCAGTATTTAGCCATACCGTTNTCAGATAGGACTTAAGTATCATATAAAATTGAACAGGCAGAGCTTTATGTATTTTGTACGGTAAGCCTTTATGCCAGACTTTGTCGAACGCTTGTGCTACGTTAAGAAAGACTGCACAACAGTACTCCTTGAGCTCGAATGCCTTTCTGATTTCATTAGTGTAAATATACGCTATTTCAAATAATTTCTCTATTATTCTTTTTATATTGCAGGTGTCTTAAGTGATCTTTTGGGGGAATTATATGATGCTGATGTAATACCGCAGGACTCGTTTATTAAATGGCGAGACTCAAAAGAACAATCGGCTGGCAAAGGTATGTTTTTTCTTTCCTTTTTTATTGTCACTTGATTAATATGCGATTAAATATTTCTAGGCGTTGCTGTGAAAGGACTTAATCCCTTTTTTAACCATGTACTTACCAGCGAAACTAGTGACGAAAATAATTAGCGAACCGACAGTTTTGCATATGGATATGCAAACTCCCATCAACGCTAAGGAATCGAATCGTTGTTACTCGTTAGATAAGACGATTACCCGTATGCAGGCCATTGCTTCAAAAACGGATAAAGAAGGAGCAAAACTGAGCTCACGTGTTCGGTTTATGCTGCAAGATGTATTTGATTTACGCCGAGACAAATGGCAATCGAAGCGAAATGAGGCCCCAAAAACCATGGGGCAAGTAGAAAAAGAAATGAAAACTGAGCAACGAGTGATTGACTGTGTCAAAAGCTTTTGACAAATCCAGTGAGACTAGGACAGTGCGCGCGCAGGGTCGGTTTTGGTTAAAGCCATGGACTATCTGGGTGTTTATGGCGTTAAGTGCTGTTGTGGTGCTNGCAAAGGTATGTTTTTTCTTTGCTTTTCTATTTTCACTTGATTAATATGCGATTACATATTTCTAGGCATTGCTGTGAAAGGACTTAATCCCTTTTTTAACCATGTACTTACCAGCGAAACTATATATATATATATATATAAATTTTTTTATGTATGTATTTATAACATATATTAAATTTTAAGACATATTTAAGAAAGTTTGAGTGAAAAAACCTTAAAAAAAGAATAAGAAAATCCATATTTAGTGGTTTAAGCTCAACTTGTGAAACCAGATTTTTTTTTAATTTTCAGAGTCGTGTTTATTTTGTGAGAGAGAGTTTATTATCAAGAGAGATAAAACATAAGGAACAAAGATTTATTAGAATCATGAACAAATTAACTAACAATATAAAGAACATAAATATAAATATATATATAATTAAAGTGTTTATCAAAAATCATGCTTGAAACTAAAATATCTACAAAGGCTATTCGTAATATGTGTAAAATATTATAGTTAAGTTTACTGTAAACAAGTTTTTAAAGCTATACATCATTAACTGAAACGAAAAAAAGTTTGATTAATAAAGGGCTGCTTGGGTTATTCTATTCGTAGACTGTTATTGAAAAATTCGAAAGGTAGAATATGTATAATGAACTCCGTGGTATTCACGTTCATGCTGAGGACGTGGCCCAGCCAGTAATGTCAATGTTGTTTCATCATCTGAGGTATTCGACGCTGTTCAGCTGGTAGATGGCATTGTAAGACTGATGTTTGTTGTTGTTGTAACCGTAAAATTATTCTTCAAAGTACTTTTTGGGGAATTTAGCAAGAGTGACAGTCCTTAGCCGGATAAAAATCCGGGTCGTTCCGGTATAAAGACGCGACTGTCGCGGGAACTATTGGATTTTAGTCGCCCTAACCGCAGGGGGGTAAGACTGAAGGTTGACTTATACGCTGCCTAAGAAGTGTGATCAATGGAACAAGGACAAAGACAAGTAGGTCTTTGCGACATTTACTACACCGCCCATATAAAAGAAGTCCAGTGTGACATCGGATTCGTCGTGAGAGGAAAACTCCGTCGTTGAGAACTGGAGCAGCCGCATCAAAACGAAATTTTTTCTGATTTTGGGCCATGCCACGACGGAAGAGAGGGACAATGTTACCAAGGTTCGTGTTATGACCGGCTTCCAACGCACTGTTGTTGTTGTTGTTGTTGTTGTTGTAATGGTAACGGTCCTTTCAATCCGCTTAGATACAGGTTAGTTAGTTTTAGTCATACAGGTCATCTAACGAGATATCCAGGAAACGAGCTGTTTCGACTGTGGATTCACCTACGCAGGTATTGAGTGCGAGTGTTATTTCCGGGAGTAGTTCGTCCCAATCACGTTGTTCTCTTACGGTAAATTGCGCTACCATTATTTTAATGTTCTTAAAATTTTGAACTGGAACCTCTGTATTTTATCAATATTAGTTGTACAGGTCGTAGCCCACAGTTGAATACCATACATCCAAACTGGTTTTAATACTGCTTTGTAAATAAAGACTTTGTATTCTAGTTTTAGACCGGAGTTTTTTATTTAAAATCAAAATTAAGCTAGCTGCTTTTAATTTCATTCATTTCATTTTATTTTATGTGTAGTATTTTTGCCTCTCTGTGTCTCCCCCAAGTGAAACGTCTATCTAAGTGTATACCGAGATATGTAACATCATTTACTTGGGAAATATTTATACCATTTAATCGAATTGCAGGACATGATTGCGGTCTGAAAGTAAATGTAACATGTAAACACTTTTGTTCATTAACTTTCATTCACCAGTTTTTTATGATAGCCATTCTTTGATGAGGAGTAAATGATCACTAATCGTTTTGCTGCTCTTTTAGGGCATTTATCCAGGCATAAAATAGCTGTCGTAGCATCCGTAAGGTAGATGTCTGCACTTTTCGGTTTAATGGGATGTCTGCGGTGTATATGATATATAAAGTAGGCCCAAATACGCCACCCTGCGGAACACCAGCTTTTACCTGATAATCCTCACGGATAAATTCAGATTGTTTAATGGTAAATTGTCTGTTAGTCAGATAGGACTTAAGTATCATATAAAATTGAACAGGCAGAGCTTTATGTATTTTGTACAGTAAACCTTTATGCCAGACTTTGTCGAACGCTTGTGCTACGTTAAGAAAGACTGCACAACAGTACTCCTTGAGCTCGAATGCCTTTCTGATTTCATTAGTTATTCGGTTAAATTGTTCGATAGTACCATGCTTTTCACGAAAGCCGAATTGGTGATCTGGTATCACATTACTACGGTGTAGAAAAGAAAATAAATTTTTTCAAATAATTTGGAAAGACTGGGTAGTAGGCTTATTGGCCTGTAAGAAGCCGCCTGTGCGTGGTCTTTGTCTGGTTTGTCAGAGAGCAGCGCTCGTAACTCTTGGTAGCTATATTTGCATATTTGATGTAATGAGGGCTCGGCCTGGAAATTTCTTTGGATTTAGTTTCTGTATCGCGTTTACCTCTTCTAGGCTTGATATTTTGCCACCTGATTTTCCTGGCCGTTATCAGCAAATTCCGGCATAATGAAATTATTAGTTGCGTCATTTGGCTGGAATACATTACTTAAATGCTTTGCAAAGCAATTTGCCTTTTCTTCGATACTACGTGTCCAGTTACCATTTGGGTCCCTGATTGGCATATTCATTTCTATTGGAAGCTTAAATTTGTTTTGTGCTTTCCAGAGTGAGTTTTTTTTTGGCAGATTTTGGCGCTAGTTTTTCTATGTAAGCCTTGGCATCGTGATCTTCTGCTTGTTTCAGTGCACTTTTCAGTTATCTCTCTGCTGCTTTCAACCGTAACTTTGCGGTCTGAGAGCGATATTCTTGCTATTCTCGGCGCTTATTCTTTACTTATTCTTCTTTTATGGCCATGTAATAGGCTTTTTACGTTTTGGAGTTGCTATTGTTGCCGCAGAAACAAGGTCATTATTTAGCTCATTAATGTAGTCATCAACATCGTTTTCACAATTCAATATTGGGTTGGTGTTAATATGACTACTAGTATATTTTTTGTATTTTAGCCAATTCGTCTCTGTTTGTTAGTTGTGATTCTTGTGCAACTATCTTCGGGCGCTCGTAAATTTTTATTAGAACTGGTGAGTGGTCTGAAGACAAACCAGCAACTGTCACAGCTGATACATGTTGCCTGTCGATTTTTCTTGAGATAGCAAAGTCTATTAAGTCAGGTATTTTCTTCCGATCGGTAGGCCAGTATGTTGGTTGATCTGGGGAGATACAATCTAAATTGTTACGTTTGTTTATAATGGTATTGAATAGCTGACGGCCTTTGAGGTTTAGTAGACGGGATCCCATGCTTTGCATTGTAGTCACCTCCTGCTATAAATCTATCACCAAGATTATCAAAAAATTCCTTAAACTGATTTTCTGTGATCTTAAATTTTGGAGGGCAATACACGGCTGAGAGATTTAGCTCTTTGCCATAATTATTCAAGGTTACAGAGGTAGCTTGTAGATAATTGGTGGCGTAGGGCTGTAAGACGCAGTGTTAAATGCGATTTTTTAGAAGTATTCCAGTGCCGCCGTGCGCTTTGCCATCAGAATGGTTGGTGGAGTAGAATATGAACCCAGGTATTTAAAAGTTATAATTATCCGTCAAGAGCGTTTCAGGCAAGAGCATTACGTCTATAGCATACTCTGTTAAAAATAGTGTCAATTCTAATTTATGTTGATTCACACCGTTTGCATTCCATAAACAAATGTTTAGCACGCTCATTTTTTTGCATGAAGATTTGTAGCATGTTAATCTGGGCTTTAATCAAGTCTGGGATCATGCTTTGCATAGTTGACATGAACTGTGTCATGCACTTCGTAAGGTTTAAATTTTTCGAACTTCAGTGCATTCGCATAAGATAATTTATTTTGATTCATATTTTGCATGTTTGGAACAGTTGTATCCGTAGCCTTTTCTACAAATTGGATTTGAGAAGTACTTACCATTTGACTTCGGCTAGTCTGGAATTTATTTGCCAACCTAACTTTTAGATCTTTATATACAGGGCAGCCCCTATAATTGGCAGTGTGATTACCTCCACAATTACTACATTTTTTCATGGTGGCATCATCTTTCTTTTACGTGCATTCAGCCGTGGGATGTAGGTGCCCACATGCTACGCAAACACTGCTCAGTGTACAGTAAGATTTAGTATGGTCGAATTCTTGGCAGTTAGTGCATTGCACTGGGCCGTTTCTTTTGTGTGGGTCTTCTACTGTTACCCTACGATGTAGCAAATATCTTAAATTGTATATGGGATGGATTTCATTTTTCTTTATCTGACCTAAATTGGGCTCTAGTTCTACCTTAAACATTGGCTGGGGTACTTTATTTCTATTAAGTATATTTATAACCAATTTAGTACTGAAACCATTTTCTTCAAGAGTCTCTTATATTTCATCTGGCTTGACTGAGGATTCGATACTTTTAATTATAACTGTTAGGCCTTTCGAGCTCTTCAGTTTATATAAGTAATTTTATTACTCGACGATAGAAAACTTACTATTAGCACGAAGCTTTTTTTACTTAAAGTTTGAGTTTGCTCG